GTCCTCTTCCCCAATCCACATCCCAACCCAGTAAACGAGAATTCCGTAAATGCCCCTGCCCCCCGAGGCGTCAACCCTTTCGCCTAAAAACACCTTCCCTCCCAACCCTCCATCCCCCTCTTCCGCCCGCGGCGGCTCAAACTTAAACCCTAGAGCCGCTCCCCTCCTCGCCTCCGAAGCGCTCGCCACCCGATTCGCCAGTCCCCAATCCCCCCAGGGAGGCGCTTCCGCGAAGGCAAGTACGCCCCCAGACCCCGCCCCCGGTATCTTCGGGTTCCGGTTCCGCGTGCCTCGCCTTTGCGCTTCATTCCGTCCCCGAAACGCGAGCATTTTTTTGGGGCGTTTTTCCTTCCATTTGTGGGTGGAGGTTAGCAGGTGCTTCGTGATGGATTCGTCAGCATTTTTTGAAGAATTTTTTCGTTCTTCCTCTTGCAGGTCCGCTGCTGCGGTCATGGCTCGCGTCTACGTGGGGAATCTGGATCCGCGCGCCACTGCGCGCGAGATCGAGGACGAGTTCCGCGTGTTTGGGGTTCTCAAGAGGTGAGATGCCTGTGACTTTGTTTAACAATTCTGAAGCTAGCAGTACGGTACATACCCTTGGCTTATTTTCACGAGTTTGGTGTGATATAACTACTGTGCTTGCCTGTAGACATGCTAAGTTGTATTTTCAAATTTCATGTTCAGCTGGTAACTAGCTCGTCTGCTAAAAGTATACGTGCCAAGTATATTGGTATGCTGGCTATTTGCTAAGCCTGATTTTAGTGCATGATTCGTGTGAAATTCAGAGTTGAGACCATCTCTTGGTGAACATGATGCAGCTTTCTGTTTGAGGAATAGAAGCTTTTATGCATAATTATATCTTAGTTGCATTGCTTGGTCGCTTGTTTTGCTTTTAATTTGTTTCTTCGGTCACATCGTAAAATTTCCCTGATAATAACAGTTTATGTTACTGCATTTTGTGATTTTTTATTTAAGTTCAACGGGGCTTGCATGTACAGGTCTTCTATAGCTTATTTTGGATTGCCATATGCTAAAGAGATATAATGTGGTACAAGTTAATAGGCAAATATGAAACAGTGAAGGTTAGAAAAGTATGAAATGGATATAAGAGATGTAGAGGCAACATTAAGTGAAGTTATGTGTGGGTGCAGATGATGGTATCATCGTAGTAATTCTAAAGCACATGCAGCATAATTATGTTGGACTGCCAGTGTATGCCTTTTCACTTAGAAGTACCAACAGTTAATGTGAAAACTAACGCATGGCTCAGTTGTACCTTTTTGAACTCAACAGTCAAGAGTATCTCATTATTTTGAATTTCTTGTCTACTGTTTAAAAGGTTATATGTCTCATCTTTTCCCCTAAGTTATTGGTGTATTTCTGAATGTATCAAACTGGTCGATCTTGTATTTGTGTGGCAAAGAGTTATGTTGTTTCTGCTTTCTCATTAGTTGCTGGCTTGCTGTTGATTAGGATGATTTTAAGTTAACAACTGTGGTAACAAAGATGTTCCGCTGGTTGCTTGATGTGAAGAATGATATTGATCTCCATACAATAATTACTTCCTATATGTTTTTGTGCGTGCAGAAATGGGATCAATTAGTTTTGACTTGACTTCTTTTCGTTGCAGTGTGTGGGTTGCTAGAAAGCCACCAGGATTTGCTTTCATTGACTTTGATGAGACCAGGGACGCAAAGGATGCAATTCGTGAATTGGATGGTAACATGATAATCATTTTTTTCATGTTGATTCCGTCTCACTATCTCCATAAGTTAGTAGATTCATGAGTCTAGTTGAGAAAATATTAACGGGATCATTTCGTGGTTGCTCATTGATCCTTAACCTCATCCTGATAAGTTCACTTATCACTTGTCTAGATTCTCATACAACTGACAAGTAAATTTTTTGTAGTCTATTTGTCCTAGCTAGCTCATTTTTTGGCTGGTCTAGTGAATTCAGGCCTGTTCTTGTGGGATTCTTATTGAATGGTCTGATGTATAATGCGTTCTGTTGCCTTTTCAGAGCTTAACTCCTGTCCATCAAAGGAAAATGCCAAAAAAAATAACTGTATTTGCACAGAAACCTGCAAATATATTAGCCCTGTACTTGAAAACCGTGAATTGTGACCATGACCAGGAACTAATAACTGATCAGTATATATAGTCATGTACTCCCTCCGTTCCGAATTACTTGTCTTAGATTTGTCTAGATACAGATGTATCTAGCACTAAAATGAGTCTAGATACATCTGTATCTAGACAAATCCAAGACAAGTAATTCGGAACGGAGGGAGTAGCAATTTGTATTAATATGTCCTATCCAGTCAGCAAGCACACTCACATATTGGCTATAGCATGACTGTGGATGGCTAAGATAATTAGGCTACACTACACTATAACTGCTTTTGTTTACTGAGACTGGCAAGCATTATCATGTGCATTTCCTTCAAAATAAAGAAACTTGGATGACCATGGTAAACAGCTACCTTATAAATCATAAAATGTTCAACTCAGTTTGAACTAAAACTGCTAAGATTTACGAGTTCTATTTTTTATTTTAAGGTCTCTTAGATTTGAACAAGTTCCAATGTCATCATACGATGACCACTTGATCAGCAACATATTAGACATTTTTGTTATTGGCGATTGGACTTCTGTTGTGCTTTAGCTGTTATGGAGTCATCTGTATGTCTGAACATTCATGAATTTGTGATTATGACAATCGTGCTGATTATTATGTGCTAATAGGTAAGAATGGGTGGAGAGTTGAGCTGTCAACCAAATCTAGTAGTGGCCGTGGCCGAGAACGTGAACGCTCTGGAGGTTCTGATATGAAGTGCTATGAGTGTGGTGAAAGTGGTCACTTTGCACGAGAATGTCGCCTACGGATTGGTTCTGGGGGCCTGGGTAGCGGAAGACGCCGCAGCCGAAGCCCGAGGCACCGCAGCCGTAGCCGTAGCCGTAGCCCAAGATACCGCAGGAGCCCAAGCTATGGCAGAAGGTATGCCCTCCGCTCACAAGTAAATTATGTTTTAGGCATGGACATGTGTTATCTGTAATTATAAATATATAGGCTTGAAGAACAAAGGAAGAATATCTCCTGAGATATTGTTTGTGAAAGTTCTAATTTTGACCTAGTAATATTTCTCAGTACATGTGAAGTCCATTCTTCAATTTCCGGTTCTTACTTTCTTACCCAAGTCCTATGTCATTTACTCCTGTGTCGGTAAAGTGGTCTAATATTTCCCTTTTCGGTTTGTCTGCTACAATCATTGGCTTTGTCAATAGGTCAGAAACATAAAATGTGAAGAACCATTTGTACATTAACAGATGGAACAAATTACTGACAATTGCCTTGCCATACTAGTATGATCTCTTACGAATACTTTAGCAGCTGTGTGCTCAGTGCATTTATCTTTACCTGATTCAGGAGCTACAGCCCACGGGATCGGTCTCCCAGGAAGCGAAGTTACAGCAGATCACCACCGCCTCCCCGGGCGCGGAGTATCAGCAGGTCTCCACCGCCTGCCCTTGCGCGAAGCATCAGCAGGTCTCCACCGCCTGCCCGTGGGCGAAGCACCAGCAGGTCACCGCCGCCCGCCCGTGCGCGAAGCATCAGCAGGTCACCACCGCCTCCTCGCGCCAGAAGCATCAGCAAGTCACCACCGCCTGCCCGTGAACGGAGCTATAGCAGGTCCCCAGCGCAGCCACCCCAGCGTGAGGAGTCCCCTTATGCTGATAACGCGTGAGCACTTGGTTCCACAATGCTGGAAGTGTTGGGGGGTGGGGACCTCCGCTTGTTTCCTTGAATGTTTTGGTATGACTATTGAATGGCCAGGCGGCCGAGTATTGTTCTTCGTTGGCATTTGTGTTCTTTTGCTGCTGATACAATTGCGGAAGCGGGATTTCTCTTGACTGGATGACTCTAGCGTATGTAGTTGGTCTTAAAGACAAGATATGTTTTTTTTTCTGTAACATTTGTACTGTTGGATTATTCGGATGCCGTGCATGGATTTTTATGTGCTGATGAAACTGTTTCTTGAATCTTAATGTGTCACCGTCTTGTTACGTTTCTATTCTCTAGAGACGTGTAGTCACTATTACGCATAGTCATCTAAACCTTTCATGATCCTGATGACTATCTAGGCAGGTACTAGCACGGAACGAATATTCAAAAGATATCACGATCTGCAGCTAAAAGCAATGCTTCACGGCAGCTGTTGCTGTTTAAGGTTTGTGAGGACGTCCCGTTGCGTTTCTCTTTGGCGTGGCTGTTCTGGCCAGTGTTTGGAGTGGACTGTTCGGACATTTTTTTGGCATCCAACACCAGTCCATAATTTTGATTTTTTGCCGTCCAATACCGGTCCATAATTTTGTCTGGATAGATCTGCATGTTTGAAATTCCACAAATCTTTTGCCGCCTAACACCGGTCCACAATTTTGTCTGGATAGATCCGCATGTTTGAAATCCCACAAAACGGAAGTAAACACAGGGGAGGTTGTAGACGTTCGGATCTCCTTCATCTCGAACTCTGACATGCTTGGTCCACTCAAAATACCTCATCCGAAGCTAGTGCGGTGTTGCAGAGGCTGGGCTTCATGGAGCCTGTTTTGCCAAAAAAAAAACTTAGAAGTTTCAAAAATATCAAAAAAATATACAAATACATATGCATGTTCGTCAAGTATGTAAAAAGTTTCTTCAGGTAATTCGATTATTTGCATGGTACACAAAAAAGAAAAATATATGGCCCAAAAACTGCAAAGATAAAGCCCATTTTATTTTGTGTATTCATGACATTTTACACGTGTATACTATAAAAATACATCTATGTATAATTATTTTTCAGATTTTTTCAATATGTGAAAATAGTATTTTTGCTAACAATAATAGTAAAGAGCTCTATGGAGCTCGGCCTCCGCAATGCTTTTTCGATCTGAAGCACCTTTTCCCCATTCTGTCTTTCTTTATTGTGCCTTATATCTACTCCGTCGACGACCGACTCCTCCATTGTATCACCCCGACCGCCGCCCAGGCCTTCCCGGACCTCCACCGCTTCACCCAGGCGCTTGCCCGCCTTCCCCTATGTTGTCGTCCCACCTCAGATCTGGCCGCATCCCAGGTATCCCCGCCGTCTGTCGGCGCCGTCCATGGCGGTCACCACACCCGACAAATGTTTGATCGGATGCCATAGCCAATTTTTCTGAAGTTCTCATTGTTTACTTTGAATCAAACACGATGGATTTGGATGGGGAGTGCTTCCACATCGAGTTCACTGAGTCATCTTTGTCGGATGAGGAGGTATATGAGAATGGAAACACCATGATGAGGGCGGTTCTTGAAAGGGCGATGCGTGCGTCTGAGCATGTTCTCAACTACAAGGGTTCAACAAAAGGACATCAGCTGTTGAACCGGAATAACGCACGGGGGCATCTGTTGTTGGACGTCGGCTGTTTTGCCCCTGTTGCGTTATTCAAGCCCTATTATGCCTTCGTTTTCGAATGCGGCGACAAGTGTTTGATCGTATCTACCGTGGTGTCCGAGCCTATGATGATTACTTCACCCTGAAGTAGGATGCCATTGGAACCATTGAGTTTTGTGTGCTGCAATGAGGATGCTTTCCTATGGCATGTCCAAAAATTTGTGCGATGAGTACCTCTGGATGTCAAATTTGATACTGTAGTATTGAAGGTGTTTGGACGAAGTACTTGAAAGAACCAACTCCTGCAGACACTGCAAGACCCATGGCAATTGGAGAAGAAAGAGGGTTTTCTAGGACTACCCGGATCCCTAAATTGCATGCGATGGGAATAAAAAAACTGCGGTATCCAGAACAAGGGCAATACCAAGGCCATTCCAAAAAGCCCACCATCATTCCCGAAGCAGTTGCATCCCATGACATATTGATTTGGCGCTCTTTCTTTGGCATGCCTGGGTCTACAATGACATCAACGTGCTACAGTGGTCTCCATTATTTGCAAGGTTGTGTACTATCTTTGTTTTGAATCAATGGGTAGAAAAAATATCACTTTGCCCAAAGTCAAGAATATGTTAGAAAGGATGTCGAGAGGGCATTTGAAGTGCTCCAAGCCCGCTCTGCAGTTACTCGTGGACCTGCTAAACTATGGGATCCAAAGACATTGCGGGAGGTGATGACAGATTTGTGATCATGCACAATATGATTATGGGATGAGGGTGATGGGGTTCACCATGGTCTACATTTTCAAAATATGGGTGATCCTATCCAAACTTCGGGAGCAGAATCCGGTGACATTTGAGGATTTTATCCAGACACACCATCAAATTCCACATTGAGAAACTCATGAGCTGCTGCAAAATGTTCTGATTGAGCATTTTGGGTGTTTTATATGCACTAGAATGTGTGCCCGACTGAGATGAAATCAAACTTGAACTACTTTATTTCAGAAATTTATATTTTTATTGTTACATTTTAATTGAATTATTGTTGCTTTGGAATACTTATCTTTCAGTTGCTTAAGAATTGTGCTTTCTTTATCTTTGATTGTTTTGAATAGTCTGGGTACAAGAAGAAAAGGTTAGGAGTGGACATTTGATGACTTTGGTTGGATGATCTCTGCCCTTAGGACATCTCAAACACTGGCCCCAAGACGGACATATTTTTTTTTGCACAGACACATCAGCGGATAGTGATATGGGAGTAGGTCATCCAGCGCTGCCCCAAACCTCCCCCGCAATACAAATAAATTCGGACATAATTCATGCAAACATGACGGAATCCATGCAAACAGACATAAGTTCGATATAATCTATATAAAACGGATGATATTTCGCCCGCTCAACAGCACATCGGTCGGCGTCTGTGCCATCATTGTTGGAGTGGTTCCTCCAGTGGCGGAAGGGCATGGGGCGCGACAGCCCCTCCCAACCGTCGCCTAGCGCTTGTAGAGGTGTCACTCGTGTTGCTCTGCGAGCCTGCCCTTGCCCCTGCCGGTGGCGACAGAGGTGTCGCTGAGCGACCATTTCTTCCCAATTTTTGCGAACTGCCCGTCGAGCTGGCGCAGATGCCGCGTGTAGTATCCTTGGCGGTCAATGACTGGTCACGAGCCCTGTCTTCGTGAGGTCTCGGTCTACGAGGATCCATGCCGGTACGGTGTCGACGTCGCAGATGCCGCCCGACGCACCGCTCTCTCCGTGCCACCTCCCTACCCGCCCTTTGTTGGGAAACGTAATAAAAAACAAAAAAATCGCCCTACAAACACCAAGGAACAATATGAAGATGCATAAAGGGTTTGGATCAACAATCATTACTGACTGCGGAGTGTAGAGGAAGTAGACGAGTCGGTGTAGATCATAATTGGAGTCCCTCGAACATCGACGACGATCCCGCAAACCGCCCTCGAACGATCCCTCGAACTGAAGACCGAAAGCACGACCTCTCTACTTGGTTGCAAGCATACAGTCTTCACGATTCGGCAGCGCTTAATCATCCAGAGCTAATCGTCGCCGGAGAATTAGAGGGAGGAGATTAGAACCATACAGGACTTCTAATTATGAGGATTAGAGGTGGCTAGGACTAGCACCAAATAGTCAACTAGGACCAACTAGAACTAGAACTAGATCAACTAGAGGAGGCTCCAAAACTTGTATCACAAATAGAGCAAAATCCCCTAGTATATATAGGTTGGAGGAGGAGGAGAGGGCATCCACCAAGGGGGGAAAGTCCCCCTTGGGGCGCCGACCTAGGGAGAGGGAGTTGGACTCCCTTCCCTTGTCCAATTCGGGCCCCCATAAAGAAGGGGGGGGGCTTCCTACTTGGGCCCTTATGGTCCAAGTTGCCTTCCACCTCTTGGCCTTATTAGGCCAATTGATATTAAATTACACACACACA